CTTGAGCGCCCAATAAACGTCAAGACGGCTCAGTCAGGCCCCCAACACGACCTCGGAAGGCCCAGAGGCCCCCAAGAGGCCCCTCGAAGGCCCCCAAAAGGCTCCGGGAAGCCCCCCGCATACCCCAAAAGGGCCCATAGAGGCTCTTCCAGAGACCACATCCTCCTCCTCATTCTCACCCTCGTCCTCCATCCCTTTCCATTATGAATGAATATCTTCGTCCTGCCGCACCCCCCAAGCGTCGGTAGGACGGGCAGGGCGTTTTGCCTGACACATCCCCACCATTTATGATTCCGAAGTTTCAGATGTACAACAGATTCAAAAATGGGAGGGAGGGTCCTTTCCGAAATGTGGCTCTTGCCTTAGCGCCGTGGTCATTCGTCTTCAAATTTTGCAGCAGGTTCAAGGATGAGGCGGGTCCTTCCCAAAATGTGGTTCTCGCCGCACTGATTCGTTTTCAAAGTTTGCGACAGGTTCAAGGATGTAGAGGGGGGGCCTTTTTCAAAATGTATGTCTCGCTTCAGCGCGCACATGTTCGTCTTCAAAATTTGAAGCGGCTCAAATATTCGCAAGCTCTTCCAGGATTCGTCCCGGGAACGGCGTTCTGGCACGACTTTAATTTGTCAGGACGCAGCAGTAACATTGGTTCGATGTGTTGAAGTCCCAGGAACTACGTTTTGGCACGATTGGGGGTGATCAAAAGGTTGTCGTTCAATGGGGGACTTCCCGCAATGAAAATATATTTCTGCAGGTACCTATGAAGAAAGAACTTAGAGGGAGGGTGTACTCTAAATGATATTGACTATCCCTTCCTGACTTTAGCAGGGACCGACCGTCCCGGCATTCCTACAGGCCTCCCACGAAATCTTCTTTGAACCCAAAACGTCCTGCGAACATACACAACGTTCTTACAACATGAGCCCGATGCGTGAAAACAACACAGTCTCAGCCAGAAGCGGTATAAGAACTATGTCGTGCAGGCCATCAGAGGCTCTGAGAACACTCCTTGGTGGGCCTATAGGCAAGCCAGGACGCTTCGCCACTGCTCGACCAACGTGGCCCCCTGGCCACCAGGGCTGCAGGTCGTGACTCGGCCCTCCCGCGGCCGTGCGGGGGGCGCTCCGGAGGCTCCCCGAACGCCGCCGCCGAGGCGCAGCTGCTGGACGGTGCCCGGAGGCCGAAGCGCCGACGAGAGCACACGGAGACGTCCGGAAGGTCCGACCCCGACGGCACGATCTGTCCACAGCGTCGACCCCCAACGGGCTCGACGCGTTCCCGAGGACCGATTGCCTCATCCCGAATCGTCTCTCGAGAGTCCGGGGACCCAGCGAGGGCCCTGCGAGGCCGAGCAGTGCCGACAGCCTCCAGTCCTGATCACCGCTGCCTCCCTGGCTCCCTCGTCTCGGCGGCGCGCCCCGGGGGAAGTGAGGGGGGGGGGGGCCTTCTCAGAAGGCTCGGAAGTCCCCCGGCCTTCTGAAAAGTTTTCTAAGCCATCCCCGAAGACACAGGGAGCCCCCCAGAAGACCCGGGGGCTTCTGGGAAGCCTGGCCGCCTTCTGAGAAGGCCTCCTCCTCACTCCCTAGGGCAACTATCTTCGCGCTTCGCGCTCCGCGAAGCGCGAAGGGCGATGATCTTCGCGCTTTCGCCCCGCCCCGCCCCCCAGGAACAGGATGAGGGACTCGCGCCTCGCTCGGAGATCGCCCAGACCGCGAAGCGCGAAGCGCGAATGACCTCGCACCCTCGTGGTGGCCCTAGACTCTAGCCCCCCCGCTTCGCCGCCGACCTGTGCTTAGCATTGGGGAAACGGGTCCCGAGGGAAACAGGTCCTGGGCCCTGGGGCTTTCCCTCAGGACGAGATCTTCATCCTGAATCGTTCTCTGACAATCCCAGGGCCCGTGGAGGGCCCCGAGAGCCCGACAAGGGCGAAACACCTCAGGACCCGTTCCCAGACATGCGACGTCCTGACTTTTTTCAATACGGGGTCCCCCGAAGTCCCGACCCTTTCCCCGGGGCTCGCTTTTCGTCCTGTGTCGTCTTTGACGGTCCCGAGGCCAGGCGAGGGGCCCCCGAGGCCGAAACTGGCGAAAAACCTCCCGCCCTGACGTTTTCACGACGCGAGCATGCCTGGGTTGCCCTCCGCACCCGCTTCCCCCACGGCGGTCTTTGCGCGCGCGGGCGCTGTCGCTCGCAGCGGGCCGGCCGTCGCCGACACCGCGGAGAGCGCGCGCGGGCGCCGCGCGGGCGGCCGCGCCTGCCCGCCCCCACCCCCCGACTGCGCCCGGCTGCGCCTCCCGCCGACCACGCGCCGCGGGGATCCTACTGCGCGCGCCGGGGAGGCGGGCGGGGGGAGGGGGAGGAGGGGGAGGAGGGGGAGGAGGGGGAGAGGGGGGAGAGGGGGGCGGAGGAGGAGGAGGAGGAGGAGGAGGAGGAGGAGGAGGAGGAGGGGGAGTAGGAGGAGGAGGAGGAGGAGGAGGAGGAGGAGGAGGAGGAGGAGGGAGGAGAGAGAGGAGGAGGAGGAGGAGGAGGGAGGAGGAGGAGGAGGGAGGGAGGAGGAAGGAGGAGGAGGAGGGAGGAGGAGGAGGAGGAGGAGGGGGAGGAGGGGGAGGAGGAGGAGCAGGAGGAGGAGGAGGAGGACGAGGAGGAGGAAGAGGAGGAGGAAGAGGAGGAGTCCGCAGCCATTTTGGCTCAAGCCGCCCACTAGCGGGCGAACCCCTTTTGGCCCAAGCGAGCGTGGCATGTCCATTATGCTTGTCCGCGTCAGGAGGCTCGCTTTTCCGTAGTGGATATTGAGATGGCGACGGGAGGCCCCCCAGTGATGACTGCAGGAAGGCCTAGAGGCGACGCCCAATGAGAAGGCAAGGCTTGGGCGAGGCGCTCTGCAGCCGCACTGTCGCGCCAGATACGCCGAGAGAGAGCTGCGGAGAGGGAGCAGGCTGCTGATTCAGAGTCAGCGGACGACGTAATTTTCGAGCGGCAGGAGCCGAGCGAGGTCAAGGGCGAGCACAAGGACCGCGTGGTGTCCCTGGGCGAGGCGTTACTTCTGCGTCGGCGAGCAGACTGGGCGCTTGGCGGGCATGGACATCGACTGGGGGATGCGCTTCGTGCTCTCCGATCTGCTCTCGGCTTATCGCGTGTGGTGTTCGACATCTGCATGTGGGTCAAGGAGCAGGGGGACCAGGCGCGCCACATGCCACTGGGCCAGCAGTCCGTGTCAACCAAGCCTTCTACTTTCAATGATGAGGCGCACGAGTTCATCCCTGTCGGATGGGAGGCGCCTGCGGTGCTGCCGCAGGCCCGACATGAATTAGAGTCCCTCGGCCTCCAAGGCGCCTGGGAACCTTTGAAGACTGACTTCGAGGGACTGCACTGCTGGTGTGGCTTGGTGGTCTTCTCATCTGTGCCCCTTGGCGGTCAGGGAGGCACTGGTCATCAAGCCCTCTCCTGAAGCCCAAGCAGAGGCAGATGAGCCGATGCCGCCAGAGGTCCTCGCCGAGGATGCCGCCGATGAGAAGAAGCCTGACGGAGAAGAGGGCGAGGCAGAGGCAGCCTCATTATCTCATGGTTCGTCACAACAGGCGGCGAAGGAGACGAGCGAAGAATTGAAGCAGCAGTTGCACCAAACCGAGGTCAAAGCTGAGCTGGCAGCTTGGGGTACGACAGAGCCTTGGCAGAGACAATGTGTGCGTCGCATGGCCAAGCTGGACAATGCAGAGTTGCAGGAAGAGCACATGGCCGTACAGGGTGCAGACGCAGTTACGCCAATCTGGGGAGTCTGCAATGTGTACGGCCAGTGGTCTAGACCTCCGACAAACGAGCAGATGAAACTAGAGCGTCGGTATCAGATGTTCACTGACGACCCTGAGCGAGATTTTCCAACTTTCAGACTCTCTGGCACAGCTCCCATCATAGTAAATGTTGTAACATGTATGTCAGGCTTGCTCACAACAAGGTCACACATGCGCATAGAAGAGTCAGGAGGATCTAACAGCCAGTTTGCAGTTCCTGTCTGCACGCTCACGGCACCCCCCCCCCGCCCTTCCCTTCCTTCCACACATGTCCTTCCCTTCTCGCCCCTAATGCTCTGCAGCTCTACACTTGTTGCATGGTTCTGGGGGTGGAGGCGGAGAGGAGGAGGGTTTCGAGTATTAGGACGCGGATGCGTGCGTGTGTTGGCCGCTCTGCGTGTGCGTGATTATTTGGTGGGGGGGTCGGAGAATCCTCCCTCTCCCCACCTCCGAGCTAGCATATCCCAAATGTGCGAGAGGGATTGGTTGCCCTGCCGCTTCCACAGTGAAGTCTTGTAGCGAGCGAGAGGGGAGCCGAAGTGCTTCCGAGTTAAGGGGGGTCCCAGTGGAGTTGCAGGCTGGAGTGAGATTGGTGGGATCTTCTGAGAAGTGGGAACTCCCTCTCTTCCCCTCCTCCGCGGTTAGCAAAGGCCTCACCAGCAGCGGCAGGAGCTGGATCTGGCAATGCTCTCTGTCTCTATCCGTTCCCTCCTCCTCTTGCTCCCTCTCCCCCTCCCTCTCCCTCCGGTGCACCTTCAACGGCGTGCAGTTGCAGGAGCAGCAGTAGCTTCAGTTCGGTGCTTCGGAATTGATGTGGGTGTGTTCGTGTGTGTGAGGAGGAGGAGGAGGAGGAGGAGGACGACGACGACGACGACGAGGAGGATGAGGAGGAGGAAGGGAGGAAGGGGAAGAGAAAGAGGAAAGGGTGAGGAGAAAGAGGAAGGACAAGGAGGGAAAGGTGGAGGGGGAAGAGGAGGAGGAGGAGGAGGAGGAGGAGGAGAAGGAGGAGGAGGAGGAGGAGGAAGAGGAGGAGGGGGAGGAGGAGGAGGAGGAGGAGGAGGAGGAGGAGGAGGAGGGCGAGGAGGACGAGGGGGGGGGAGGAGGAACGGGAAAGGGAACGGGACAGTCCCACGCCAGTAGGGCGACGAAATCTATGCATATCTGCTGCTCCCTGCCGATGCCCACCCTGACTCCAACAGCGGTGTATACGCCACGCCCTCCAGGAAGAGCTGGGCCAGGGAGAACTGGACATGTTTAGCTTTCGTCGCCCGGCTCGGGCGGCCGCCCCTCTCGGCCCCTCGGCGTCAGGCCGCCGCCACGGACCTGGCCCGCTCACCGGCGCTAGTCGACGTGGTGCCACACGCCGCGATCTCGGCCAGAGGAGCGCCTCTCCGCTGCCGGCGCGCTCGGGTCCTCGTGCACCTCGGGAGGTACAAAGGCAACGGAGGGGCAAGAGGGAAGGGGGTGCAGGACGAGGGCGAGGTGGTGGAGGTGGAGGGGTGAGGAGGTGGTGCAGGAGGAGGAGGAGGAGGAGGAGGAGGAAGAAGAGGAGGAAGAGGAGGAGGAGGAAGAAGAGGAGGAGACTATTAAAACGGACGTTAAGGTATGAAAGCCGTTCTGTCCCGAGCGGACGTGAAAACGGCAAGGCTAAAATGCGTTCAACACGGGTACGGCGCGCCTGGCGCACCTGGCGCACCTGGCGCGCCTGGCGCGCCTGGCGCATACGAAACATATACGAAACCCATAAAAAGGAAACATCTGTGAAACCTACACGAAACGTATACGAAACGTATACGAGCCGTATCCAAAACATATACGAAACGTATACGAAACGTATACGACACGTATACCAAACGTACACGAAGCAGATACGAAACCTACTCTAGGCATATACGAAATATATACGAGACATATACGAACCGTACCCTAAACATATACGACACGTATACGAAACGTATACGAAAAATATACCAACCGTAAACCAAACGTATACGCAACACTATACGAAACGTATACGAGACATATACGAAATAAATACGAAACATATACGAAATATGTACGAAATATATACGAAACGTACACGAAATATCTACGAAACATATACGAACCACATACGAAACACATACGAAACACACATGAAACATATACGAAACATATACAAACCATATACGAACCAAATACGAATGATTTACGAAACAAATACGAACTATATATATATATATACGCGACATATACGAAACATATACGGAACATGTACGAAACATATACGAAACACGAACGACACATATACGAGCCCTATACGGAACAGACACGAAACATATACGAAACATATTCGAAATATATACGAAACATATACAAAACGTATACGAAGAAAATACGAAACAGGCATGAAACATAGACGAAACATATACGAAACAGATTCGAAACATCTACGAAACATATACGAACCATACACGAAACGTATAGGAAACGTATACAAGACAGACACGAAACATGTACGAACCACATACGAACCATATACGAAACATCTTCGAAACATATACGAAACACATACGAAACATATACGACACATATACGAAGCATATACGAAACACATACGAAACATATACGAACCAGATACGAAACAAATACGAAACCGATACGAACTATAGACGAAACATGTATACGAAACTTATGCGAAACATACACGAATCATACACGAAACCTATACGAAACAAGCACGAAACATATAAGAAACATATACGAAACATTTACGAAACATGTACGAACCATGTACAAACCATATACGAAACAGATGCGAATCATCTACTAAATATATACGATATATACATACGGGTTCCCCCCCCCCAAGGACACGGCACACTTTTCTTACATATCATCTTGGGCGGGTGTAAGCTTGAATGGGTTTCGTCGGCGGCCCTTGTGTGTAGCTTCCGTGAGCACTGCTTCCAGACAGCACGGCGGTTGTCTGGAACCGACCTCTCATTGATATGACATTGCGAAAACACTGTAAAATCCAAGTTTTCCGATTTTTCCAATTCTCAGGGTACGAACCCTCGCTGATGCGGCAGATGGGAATGTTCCAATTCTCGAACCTTCGTTGGTGCGGCAAAAAGAAAACACTGTGGAATCCAATTTTTCAAATTTTTCCAATTCTCAGGCGCCGAACCTCGCTGGTGCGGCGGAGGAAAACATTGCAAAATCCAATTTTCCAAATTTTCCAATTCTGTGGCGCTGAACCGCTTGCAACATCGATGAGGATTCAGTCTGAAGAATTGGAAAAATTGGAAAATGGATTTCACAGTGTTTTCTTTCTGCCGTACCTGCGAGGGTTCGGCGACTGAGAATTGAAAATTGGAAAAAAAAAAAAAAAAAACGGATGGCCAATCCAGAACCCATTGGTATGACATTGAGAAAACACTGTAAAATCAATGTTTTTCGATTTTTCCAATTCTCTGGGTACGAACCCTCGCTGATGCGGCAGATGGGGATGTTCCACTTCTCAAACCCTCGTTGGTGCGGCAAAAAGAAAACACTATGAAATCCAAATTTTTCCAATTTTTCCAATTCTCAGGCGCCGAACCTCGCTGGTGCGGCGGAGGAAAATATTGCAAAATCCACTTTTTCCAATTTTTCCAATTCTGCTGCGCTGAACCGCTTGCAACATCGACGAGGATTCAGTCTGAGAGAATTGGAAAAATTGGAAAATGAGATTTCATAGTGTTTTCTTTCTGCCGTACCTGCGAGGGTTCGGCGCCTGAGAATTGGAAAATTGAAAAAAATGGATGTTACAGCGGATTGGCCAATCCAGAACCGACACCTTCGGGAGGAGGAGGAAGAGGAGGAGGAGGAGGGGGGCTAGTAGTAGTAGTAGCAGGGCTCCTCCTCTCCCCGAAGGTGTCGGTTCTGGATTTGCCAATCCGCTGTAAAATACATTTTTTCAACCTTCCCATTCTCAGGCGCCGAACCCTCGCAGGTACGGCAGAAAGAAAACATTGTGAAATCCAAATTTTCCAATTTTCCCACTCTCTCAGACTGAATCATCATCGATGCTGCAAGCGGTTCAGCGCCACAGAATTAGAAAATTTGGAAAAAATAAATGTTGCAATGTTTTCCTCCGCCGCACCAGCGAGGTTCGGCGCCTGAGAATTGGAAAAATTGGAAACATTTGATTGCACCGTGCTTTCTTTTTGCCGCACCAACGAGGGTTCGAGAATTGGAACACTTCATATGCCGCATCAGCAAGGGTTCGTACCCAGAGAATTGGAAACATCGGAAAATTGGATTTTACAGTGGTTTCGCAATGTCATACCAATGGGTTCTGGATTGGCCAACCCGCTGTAAAATCCAATTTTTTCAATTTTCCAATTGTCAGGCGCCGAACCCTCGCAGGTACGGCAGAAAGAAAACACTGTGAAATCCCAGTTTTCCCATTTTTTCCATTCTCTCAGACTGAATCCTCATCGATGTTGCAAGCGGTTCAGCGCCACAGAATTGGAAAATTTGGAAAAATTTGATTTTGCAATGTTTTCCTCCGCCGCACAGGCGAGGTTCGGCGCCTGAGAATTGGAAAAAATTGGACAATTGGATTTTACAGCGTTTCCTCTCTGCCGCACCAACGAGGGTTCGAGAATTGGAACATTCCCATCTGCCGCATCAGCGAGGGTTCGTACCCAGAGAATTGGAAAAATTGGGAAAAAATGATTTTACATTGTTTTCATCATGTCATATCAATGAGAGGTCGGTTCCAGACAACCGCGCTACGCTCCGCCTGTGGACCATTGCACAGGGTGGCGGGATCGATCCACGGGCTTCCACAGCAACGACATTGAGAGTGAGAACTCTCGCATGAAGATGTGGTTGCGGGCTCGCTATAGCAAGATGCCCGTGCTCAACGCAGTGGCCAGCGATGCAGCTGGCGCTGCAGATCAGCACGGTGCACCTTGTGCGGAAGAGCAGCTGATGCCACTGCCCGGCCTTGCTGAGTATGCCCACTATGTCAACCCAGGAAGTTCGATGGCAATGGCGATGAAAGCGTTTGCCGATGCCCACGGCGGATCGTATGTGCCGTTTCGTTTCAACTGGCCCTTGTGCAGTGCGAGTGCTAGCGCGACATGAGTTCTACCTTGCCCGTGCCCGCGACGAGTCGCACGCGCCGTTTCGCTTCCGATTGTTTTCAATGATGCGGCATGCAAGCTCCAATTGTACAATGTGGGCGCTAGCGCTGACTAGGTTCAATCCCGACAGCGGTGCACACGAAAAAATAGAACGACGAGAAACCCTGCAGGGTCCTTGGGGGGTACCCATACATATATATATATACATACATACATACATGCATACGTATATATATATACGGAACAGTTACGAAACATGTACGAAACGTATAAGAAACATATACGAAACAAATCGGAACATACACAAACCATACACGAACCAGACACGAACAATATACGAAACATTTACGAAACAGATACGAACATATTCGAACTATATACGACATGTATACGAAATAAATACGAACGTATACGAAACGTATACGAAACATAAACGAAACATCTACGAAACATATACGAAGCAGCTACGAAACATATACGAAATATATACGAAAGAAGTACGAAACATACACGAAAAGTACACGAACCATACACGAACCACATACGAAACATATACGCAACATGTACGAAACGTATACGAAACGTATACGAAACAGATACCAAACGTATACCAAACGTATACGTAGCATTATACGAAACGTATACGAAACATATACGAAACATTTACGAAACAGATACGAAACATGTACGCAGCATATACGAAACGTACACGAAACATATACGAAACATCTACGAAACACACACGAAGCACATACGAAACATACATGAAACCTATACGACACATATACGAACCATACACGAAACATATGCGAAGCATATACGAAACATATACGAAACATGCACGAAACATATACGAAACATATACGAAACATATACGAAACGCGCACGGCGCGTCCGCGGCACAGAATCCTTACCACATCCCTTACACTTCTTACCTTACACAAGAATATTTGGGCAAACAGAAAGAGGTCAGCCCTAGAAGTAGCAGTAGTAGTAGTAGTAGTAACAGTGGTAGTAGTAGTAGTAGTAGTAGCAGTAGAAGTAGTAGTAGTGGTAGCAGTAGTAGTGGTAGTAGTAGTAGCAGTAGTAGAAGTAGTA